ATTAGGGTAGTTCAAATGTTAACCTCTGTGAAGTGAGGATTCCTAGTTTAGAGTTATTAAGAAGTTGACTCACTGGGACCAGCAGGTGGCATGGTGGTTAAGGTGCTGGACACTCCCACATGGCTAACCAGGGTTTAAGTCCTGGACCTGGTGGCTTGCTTTCTCACTTCCTCTCTCTCTCACTCTCACCCTCTGTCTCTGTCTGGTCAAATTAAAAAAATCAAGAATGAATAAATAAAACATAAAATAAATAATTATTTTTTAAAAAAAGAAGTTGACTTATCGTTCCTATCTATGCAGAAGTTATCTTAATGTGAATTACAGACAATATAGTAGAAACTTAAATCTGTTTGGAAATAGATATGCTATGTAGATTTTCTCGTTACACACTTATAACAAATATACAATTTAGTAGTTATTGCACTGAAAATATATTTTTTCAGCTGTAGAAACAATTGGATAAGATAATCATTTAGGCAAATTTTAACAGTGGTATAGTCCAGTCTTCCAAGTGACTTAAGAAACAGGACGTGGTCATGCCTCAATCCCTTCCCCCATTTTTTCTATCCTCTTGGAATTCGGGATATGAACATATGTGCAGAATGTGTTTTTCAAAACATTGAGACCAGGATTTGACTTGTGCCATTGACCATGTGGTTGGCCTGAGATGTCCCTCTTTTCTAATATATGCATTTGGTGTTATAAATTTGTCTCTCAGTGCTGTTTTAATTTTTCTCTACAACACACCCTCTCAGCATCTGACGTGATGTAATTTTCTTTTCTCTTCAGTTAATAAATTATAAGACAATCAGTATGTTTATTTTGTTCCTCATATACACTTTTCTTCCCTATATTTGTATGTGCATTGTTAGGGCAAGTAGCAATTGTGTACTATCTACACTCATGTGGGTTTTTTTTTTTTTTTTTTTTTAATAAAGATTTTTGCCAGGGGGCATGTGTACTCTTACCCTCCAGGGAAGTGACCATACATACCACTTCTGTTCCAGTCCTCTGGATATTGGGCATGCACACATGCACATGCACACACATATGCCCAGCATGTTTTTTTCAAGCAAAGAGGACTTGAACTAATTAGTTGACCATATGGGGCCCAGCGCCTTAACCACCACACCACCTTGCTGTGGCTCTCATATGTGTCTTTTAGGTGAATAAATGGCCTTGAACTATTGGAGATAGGAGATAGTAATAAATTTTGTTCCCCTCCCCCCCCAAATTTTTACCTTCAGTAAGTTATATTATGATAAAACAAGCCTTAGACAAAATTCTGGTGCATATACAAACATGTTATTATTGAGCAGTCACAAAATTATATGGTAGGTTCTGTGAGCTCAGCCCTTGTAAGAGTCTAGAGAAGACTTCAGCCCTAGGCAGATATCACTATGTTCTGACTAGGCTTCTGTGACAGAATTCTCCAAAAAGGGGTGGGTTACAAGATAAAAGGAGTTCTAGACAAAATCATCTTTGAAGATGGACTGCAGAGCATATTCAGATTCTAAACCCCAAGCAGATAAAAATCATACCCCACAAATAAGTAGCTCTTATTTTTCAGTAACTGGTAACATTGAAAAAAGAATCAAGGCTCCTGTATTTATAATCATTTATCTTGAATAACAATTGCATTTCAGTGATACAAACTTATTTTCAACTTTCATTATGCTAACTAACAAACCAGCATCTAAATTGAAATGCTGATTATTATAAGTACTTGTTATCTGGGCCCTAACTCCTCATTAGGGTAGTTCAAATGTTAACCTCTGTGAAGTGAGGATTCCTAGTTTAGAGTTATTAAGAAGTTGACTCACTGGGACCAGCAGGTGGCATGGTGGTTAAGGTGCTGGACACTCCCACATGGCTAACCAGGGTTTAAGTCCTGGACCTGGTGGCTTGCTTTCTCACTTCCTCTCTCTCTCACTCTCACCCTCTGTCTCTGTCTGGTCAAATTAAAAAAATCAAGAATGAATAAATAAAACATAAAATAAATAATTATTTTTTAAAAAAAGAAGTTGACTTATCGTTCCTATCTATGCAGAAGTTATCTTAATGTGAATTACAGACAATATAGTAGAAACTTAAATCTGTTTGGAAATAGATATGCTATGTAGATTTTCTCGTTACACACTTATAACAAATATACAATTTAGTAGTTATTGCACTGAAAATATATTTTTTCAGCTGTAGAAACAATTGGATAAGATAATCATTTAGGCAAATTTTAACAGTGGTATAGTCCAGTCTTCCAAGTGACTTAAGATAGCTTACAGTTATCAAATAATTGTTCATTATTACTGTTAATTAGAAAATTGTTCAATATTTACTACTACTTTGTATGATAAACTTATCCATAAGTCATTCTCTCTATTAATAGTATTGAAGTCAAAATGCTGAAACATATTAAATATATAATTAGATTCAAGGCTCAATCTTTCTACTCTTGAACCATATAATAATGGTTTTATCAGTACATTATTTCATCAGGTTAAATGAATGCAACTAATTTACATTTTTTGGTAGCTTTTTTAAAAAATTTGATATGTATCTATGTTTAGATTTGTTTTTGTATTATTACTTCAGTATATTTAGCAAATTATATAAATCTATAGAACTTTTCTTTCCCCTTAGAGAGAGATTAATTTGTAGGGACCATAAGATGGCGTAGCATTTATGTCACTGAACTCGTACATGACCAACTACAGTTAGAGCCCCAGACCTGGTGGCTTGAAACTCATGCTGGCCATATGTGTGTGCATGCCAAAATCCCAGGAGTAGAATGGAGAAGGGATTGTGTCATGGCCATCCTTCTCGGGGAGTGATTTCTTAGTTTCCCTCTCACTGTCTCTATGCACTCTTAAGGCAAAGACCTCTGGGGGTAAAAAAAAAAGAGAGAGAGAGAGAGAGATTAATTTGTCACTGTAGTTTGAGCAAGAGATACTTCAATAATTATTGGTTTTTAAATCATATGTTTTTTAAAAATTTATTTATTTGAATTTGACACGGGGGTAGGGAGAGAAAGCAGGAAAGCAAGCTGCCAGGTTCAGGATTTAAACCGTGGTCAACCACGTGGCAGTCCAGAACCCTTAACCACCATGCCACATGCCAGCCCCACTCCAAGAAATATGAAATAGAATAGTAGCATACCAAATCTGGCATTAAAAAAATAATACACTGTGACCATATAGCCTTTATTCCAGGAATGTAAGGATGTAACTAGATTTAATGTTAAAAATGAAGAATCCATCATTTTAGTACATCACAGGGGAGATATATAATAATTACAGTAGTTTCTGATAAGACGCATCTGATAGAGCCTCTTAATAAATTTAGAAGGATACTTTTTACTTTTGATTTAAAAAAATCTATCATAGTTATTTTATTTTCATGTGGTTTTAAGGCCATGACAATAATACTTAATTACAAATTTTTCAAAGGGTGAATTGTTAGAAAGAAAATTCATTGGTTGCAAGTATCAAAAATCAGCTTTAGGGCACAATTGTGGTGGCAAGTGGGACGGTACCTAGTGACTGGGGCTGCATGGGCCTCCCATGGGCTTTCCTCTCTACAGTATAAGCAGGCCATACTATAGGTGCATTCATGTGGTCCTGGCTTATTGGGAAGCTGGGGCAGGTGGATCAGGATGTGATATGACTGACCTGTGTCAAAAATACCAGTACACCTCTCTCTTGAAAAAAGGCTTGGGGATCCACCTGTGGTGGTGCTTGCTGCTAAGGTCCTGTGCTTCCCCAGTCTGGGACCACATGGGAGGCCTAGTTTAAAAATTTTTAGAAAGGATTATTTAATGTTATTTTATCATCGTTGTTTGTTTTAAAGTTTGCTAGGGCACATGTGTTCACCACAGAGAAATGGAGAGGGAAAGTGAAATCAGTCATGATGTACAGGGCTTGAACTGTCATTGGCCCATGTAGAGTCCAGTGCCTTGACTACCACACCACCTGCTGGCCCTGGGAGGCCTAGTTTGACTTCAGTCCAAATTAAAGGCTGGACATGGTGACCTATTCAAGCGACTCAAGAGGTTAAGGCAGGAAGATTGTAAACTTGACGTTGGACTGGGTAGCATAGTGAGATCTGTGTTTTAAAAAGATCTGGATGAGGGAACCAGCAGTTAGCGTAATGGCTATGTCGCTGGACTCCCATGTAGTCGACCGTGGTTCGTGTCCCGGACCCAGTGACTGAAAACTCAATGCCGGGCGCATGTGCATGCGTGCCCAAGATCCCGAGAGGAGAATGGAGGAGAAGGGATTGCGGCATGACCATCCCCCCTGGGGGGTGATTTCTCGCTTTCTGTCTCTGTGTCTCTGTCTGTCTGGCGAGCGCACGCGCCCTATAGCAAAAAAAAAAAACCTTAAAAAAAAAAATGATCTGGATGAGATGGCATGCATCTGTAATTCTAGCTGGATGGCTGAGGCAGGAAGATTGCCATATGTTACGACCTTATCTTTAAAGATAAAACAAAACCAACTGACTTAAGCAAAACCATAATTTATTATTGGAAGGCTATGCGATAGCTCTAGAATGAGTAGGGACATGGGAGAATAGAGCAGGTCAAGGATAGAAGCATTATTCATCATCTAGTTCAAATTCTTCCTTTGAAATTTAATGTGCCACCCACTCGCCCACCCTTTTCTCTTTGCTTAAGATTCAGAGTTACAAGGGAATTAAGTTTCAACTGCACATAATGGAGAGGATTTAATACCCAAAAGAAAACTGCATATAGTTAGGATATGGGAATGGATCTTAAGCAGTAACACCCCATCTTCCACAAAAGTAAACAAGTATCTAGTAAAATAGACAACTTTGATTTTTAAACTAGTTTTAGACTATGGTACACTACAACTAACTCCTTAATCTTAAGATTAAATTACTTCTAAAACATTTTAAGTCAAATACTTGAAACCTTAATTTATGTACTAGCATTATCTATATTTTGATACTTACATGATCTTTTTTATTTTTCTTTTCAGACAATGCGAAGACACAGAAACGAAGTGACAGTTGAACTACGGAAGGTAAGGGTGATTTACATTTTTTAAAAATAATGATTTCTTTAATTTTATTTATCATAATAATTTTTTAATTTGCTACAGGATATGCATGCTCAACAGAGAGAGGGGAAGGAAAAGTGAGAAACTTTAGAACTGTGATTGTCCATATGGGAGTCCAGCGCCTTGACTACCATACCACCTGCTGACCCTGTGAGGCCTAGTGTGATTCTAGCCAAAATTAGAGGTTAGACATGATGACCTACTCCAGTGACTCAGGAGGTGAAGGTGGGAGGATTCTAAACTTCAAGCTGGACTGGGCAACATAGTGAGACCTTGTGTTTAAAAAAGAAATTTGGGTGAGATGACATGCATCTGTAGTTCTAGCTGAGAGATTGAGGTCCAGGACTTCAGCTGCAGTCAGCCATGTAGAAATCAGGTGCCTGAACCACCATGCCACGTGCTGGACCCTGATTTGCATTTAAAGAAGAGTAATTAGAATAAATTTCTAGTAACTTGAATAATGAAAATACAGTGACACATTAGTGGTTATTCCTAAGATCATCCAATATAAAAGTATATCATAGATAGCTTATTCTGGTATATACTCATAATAGCTTCCATTTACTGTGTGAAGGACTTGATCATCATTAAAATTTCACAACATCTGAAGATAGGTATGTTTTCCTTAATGTTTTCTTTCTGTGGGCTGTGTGCTGAATAGGATTCCTCCCCTATTTGTGAAAGTTATATACAACTTGTTAAAGATAATTAAGAAAAATAAATAAAATAAAAAACCTTATATGTTATCAATTAAATGCAGCTGCTGTTAAACTTGATTGTTTATCATCAGATTGTACTTTCATGCAGACACTGTTTTCAAATCACATATTTACATGACCATCAAAAATGATATATGTAATTAATTTTCTCTATATACATGTCCATTTTTAAAATAAAAGTTTAAAATAAAAACATGTGAATCTTGGTGTTTGTCTTAGGTTTGGTCCTTTTCCTGATCTAATTCACTTCTAAGACTCCTTCCCTGTATTAAATTATTATCCTGAAACTTTGCGGTTTTAGGGGGAAGGAAGATCTTTGTTTCTGCAAGTACTCACTCTCTTAGAGCCATTAGAACTAAATAGGCCTATGCATTTATTTAGTAGTTATTTAATATGTACATTGTGTCATAGATTGGTTAGGTAGCTCTTTTGCTCTCTTACATTTTAAAAAGTACCAGTAATGTGTGCCAGAATTTGAACTTTGTTCACAAGCTCTTCATTAGAAATTCATTTATTTAGTTATTCAGCCAGGCATCACCATCTCCTAAAGTTGGGCATTATATAAATAAGCACACAATCGAATATCCTTACCAATTGTGAATGATGTTATAGAGGAAAAAATAGGTAGCTGTGCAAATCAAAGGTGGGGCTGACAGGTGGTGTGGTGGTTAAGGATGCTGGAGATCCCACATGACTGACTGTGGTTTGAGTCCTGGACTTGGTGGCTTACTTTCTCACTTTGTCTCTCTCTTTTGCTCTGTCCCTCTCTGGTCAAGTTAAAAAAAGAAATAAAATAATTCTTAAAAAAAAAAAAAAAAATCCAACAGGGTGAAGTTTTTTGTTTTTAAATTAGGAAATGCAGAGGTAATATGTCCAAGGGAATAACATTAAGGTTGACCCTGAGGAATAAATTGGAATTGTTAACAGCTTATTTTTTCTAAATGTTTACAAAGTCAGATTTTGAATTTTTGCCTGACTTCTATATTTTGTTTACTGGGTTAAGTATTCATTCATTTTCCCTTTCACCCGGTTTTTAATTAAATTTGAAAAATACTGGGAACCAGCAGTTAGCGTAATGGCTATGTCGCTGGACTCCCACGTAGTCGACCGCGGTTCGTGTCCCGGACCTGGTGGCTTAAAACTCACGCCGGGCGCGTGTGCGTGCGTGCCCAAGATCCCGAGAGGAGAATGGAGGAGAAGGGATTGCGGCGTGACCATCCCCCCTGGGGGGTGATTTCTCGCTTTCTGTCTCTATGTCTCTCTCTGTCTGTCTGGCGAGCGCACGCGCCCTACAGTGAAAATCTCTCCCCCCAAAAAAAAAAAAAAAAAATTTGAAAAATACTTAATAATTCCAGTGTCCTGTTAACTCCTTAATTCCTTTATGGACACAACAGTCTTTTGGCAATCATATTTGCAGGATTTTTTTGGATCCTTGGGTTATTTGGGCCAGAAAAATGAACTATGCCTTAAAGGAATAAAATGAGCTCTTTGCAGTCTTAAAACTTTGAACTTCTTTTTTTTTTTTTTCACATTTTACTAACATATGGCTAACACACTAATGCATACAAAACAACCCACATAGTTTCAGTATACAGCTTGATGAATTTTCATAAGGTGAACACATCTGTGTAACTAGCTCCATGATCAAGAGCTAGCATTACCTGTATCCTTCTTAGGTACTACCTTCCCCCAAAGGTATCCATTATTCTGATTTCTAACACCATAGATTATTTTGCATATTTTGAGCTTTGTATAGATATACTGATCTGGTTTTTTAAAAGTTATTTATGAGACCAGCAATTAGCGTAATGGCTATGTCGCTGGACTCCCATGTAGTCGACTGTGGTCCTAGTCCCAGATCTCGTGGCTTAAATTCATGCCGGGCACGTGTGTGTGCGTGCCCATGATCCTGAAAGAATAGAGGAGAGGGGATTGTGGCTTGGCCATCTCCCCGGGGGGCGGGGGTGATTTCTTGCTTTCTCTCTCTCTCTGTCTCTGTTTTTCTGGTGAGCACACATGTCCTATAGCAAAAACGATCATTCTCTTTAATGGAGGCAGGGGAAACGAAATTGGAATTAAGTAATTACTCATATATTGTCATTTGTTAACATTACATTTTCCCTATATGTGAACCTTTACCTTCCCTTAACTTTTCATACTTAAAATACAACTTTAAAACATTTATATTAGTTCTAATATTATTCAGAAGCCTTCCTTTGTTTTAAGTTTGTTTGTTTAGCTTATTGTAGAGTACATGCACTCGCCAGAGAGAGGTAGAGAAAGGGAAATTGAGAAATCAGTCCCCAAAAGGAATGTCCACATTGCATTCCGTTCTCCTCAATTCTTTTGGGATTTTGTGCACACACTCACATGTCTCGTGTGATTTTCAAGCCACCAGGTCTGATATCGAACTGTGCAATTGACCATGTGGGATCCAGTGCCTTACCCTCCACACCACCTGCTGGCCCATGTTTTAAGCTTTTTAACCCTTCTGATATGCTTAAAAACCCAAGCTATTCATTTATATTTGGTTATTTGTTCCTCCTTCTATAGTTGTGCTGTCTTCTGTAGTTTAGAGTATTAAAAGTGTGTGCTTGTTAGAGCACATCTTTTTAAATATCCACTGTGGTTACCTTAGACAGTTCTTTTCTCATTTTCTGCATAACATCATTACTTTTATAGTTACTATGATTAGGTTCCTGAACATCCTTGTAGTAGGGCCAAAAATGAAGTTAACTAAAGAAATAACAGTTCCTTGTTTCATATGTAAGAATTGCCTAAGTAGTGGAAAGTGAACCGTTCCTAAAGTAAAGCCTTCACTTTATTTATTTATTTATTTATTTATTTATTTACTTACTTACTTACTTATTGGAGAGTTTTTTCTTTTTCTTTTTTTTTTTTTTTAGAGTACATGCACTCGCCAGAGAGAGGTAGAGAAAGGGAAATTGAGAAATCAGTCCCCAAAAGGAATGTCCACATTGCATTCCGTTCTCCTCAATTCTTTTGGGATTTTGTGCACACACTCACATGTCTCGTGTGATTTTCAAGCCACCAGGTCTGATATCGAACTGTGCAATTGACCATGTGGGATCCAGTGCCTTACCCTCCACACCACCTGCTGGCCCATGTTTTAAGCTTTTTAACCCTTCTGATATGCTTAAAAACCCAAGCTATTCATTTATATTTGGTTATTTGTTCCTCCTTCTATAGTTGTGCTGTCTTCTGTAGTTTAGAGTATTAAAAGTGTGTGCTTGTTAGAGCACATCTTTTTAAATATCCACTGTGGTTACCTTAGACAGTTCTTTTCTCATTTTCTGCATAACATCATTACTTTTATAGTTACTATGATTAGGTTCCTGAACATCCTTGTAGTAGGGCCAAAAATGAAGTTAACTAAAGAAATAACAGTTCCTTGTTTCATATGTAAGAATTGCCTAAGTAGTGGAAAGTGAACCGTTCCTAAAGTAAAGCCTTCACTTTATTTATTTATTTATTTACTTACTTACTTACTTATTGGAGAGTTTTTTCTTTTTCTTTTTTTTTTTTTTTACTGTAGAGCACATGCGCTCACCAGAAAGACAGAGAGAGACAGAAAGTAAGAAATCACCCCCAGCGGGATGGCCATGATGCAATCCCTTCTTCATTCTCCTCTTGGGATCTTGGGCATGCATGCACATGTGACTGGCATGAGTTTAAGCCACTGGGTCCAGGACTCAAACCATGGTTGACTACATGGGAGTCCAGCAACATAGCCATTACATCAATTGCTGGTCCCAAGCCTTCACTTTAGACAAAGCTTAATTAATTTTTGATATGAGTCTATAGAGGTGTGTAGAGCCCATTAAGAGAAGATTCCTCTACTTTTTATAGTCAGTGTCTGATTTCAGCTTTGGTATCTCTATTGTTCCACTAAGGAGTTAATCACAGTATTTGGTATTAACTCTTACTAACTGTCATTGAAATTCTTGAAAATACAAGAAAAGAGAGCTAGTCCTGAGAACTTTATTGACGAGCTCTACTCATTTGAGAAATTTAATTAGTAGATGTCATCCAGTGGTTGGTAATTCACTTCACTCCATGGGAAGTTGCTTTGAATATTTCTTTTTCTTTCTTTTCTTCTTCTTCTTTTTTAAGATCTACTTAATTCTTAAATTTTATTTATTTATTTACTTAATTATTTTTAAATTTTTGACGAGAGAGAGAAAGTGAGAAAGCAAGCCACCAGGTTCGGAACTCTAACCGTGG